TTCGGTGCCATCTTGTCAAGGTCACTGTTGAGAACACGGACCTTGTCGAGCAGTTCATCCTCGAGCTTGTCATCGGCCTCCTGGAATTGAATTAGTATGTGACAAATAAGCAATGGATAGGAGAACAAACCTCTTTCAGGGTCTCACCCAGAGAATCAAAGTCGATCTCGATACCGTAATCATGCACCTGGGCAGTCTCGTCCAAACCATCTCCTTCATCCACCTCCATGGCATCAGGGTCTGCTGCTTGCACAAGGTCATCAATTGGAAGCTTGTCAAGGGAATTGGAAGACTCGGTCAAAGGAATATCAATGTCTTCAAGCTTGCAGCGGCGCAAAAGAGTGTAACGACTGGAAGAGTTTCTCTGAATGTCTGCTTCAAGTGCATTAACATTCTTTAACGCTGATTCAACGTGCTTGCTACGCTTCTGGAGTTCACGACGCTGCTCTGCCAAGTTTTCTGCTGCTTGTCCATAGATTTCCTTTTGCTTCTCGAGGGCCTCTCGGAGGAGTTCAAGTTCCGCTTCGAACTCATCGAGCTGGTTGCGGATTCCTTCTTGCTGGCTTTGTAGCTCTTCAATCAGGCCCTGATCACGCTCGTATTGGGCCTTAAGGCCGTTGATTCGGTCCTCGGTTGCTTGGATACGCTGCTTCTCAAAGCTGAGCTGGTTCTCGATTCGGCTCTTCTGGGTGGTGAACTCAAGCTTTTTTTGTGCGGCCTCTTCCTGCATAGAGCCCTGCTGGGCTTCATATTCTCGAATATCATCATACCCTAGGCGCTTGCAGAAACTGCGGTAAATCTCATCCTCGACAGTGCTAACTGAAGCTTGTGACGTTTCGATTGTCTCATCTAGCTCATCAAGGTTTTCCTTGCGCTCGGTGTATTTGGGTCGCAGTTCTTCCATCTGGCGCTTAACGAAGTCCAGCTCGCTAAGCTTGCTCTCGAGGTTCCTTTCAAGAGCCTTCAACTCATCACGAGAGTAAATGAGGCGCTGCTCGAGACCGACGAGCTCGCCCTGCAGGGTCTCTTCCTCAGAGCCTCGGCGGTGACTCTTAGGGAGGGTCGCGAGATCGCCCATGAGCTTCTCCTTTAATTTATATAGGTTCTCGACCTCGGAATCTTCCCAGCGCTTGGAGTTCTGCTGCTGAGGACCACGTCCACCAGTCATGAGGCCACCCTTGTGGATGACAGTTCCATCGAGGGTGACAGCCTTCGCATCCACATTTCTTTCGTAGCAAAGGTACTTGGCCGTCGCCAGATCGTCACAAACAATAGAGTTGCCGCACGCGTAACTAATTGCTCGTGCAACTGAATCATCATAGTCAATAGTCTCAATGGCAGGGCGCATGCCCCGATGCATGCCCTTCAGGTTCGAGTTGAACGCCTTGACTTGAATAGTTTCCAGAGGAATGAACGTGGCCTGACCTGCGCGTTGGTCGCGTAGGTGCTGAATGCACTCCTTCGCGGTCTTCTCGTTATCAACAACAATGGCGTCAAAGTGTCGACCTAGTACGGTGCTGACTGCATCGGAGTATTTCTTCTGCTTCGGCCGGCAAAGATCACTGACACGGCCTTTGACACCGGGGAAGATGCGCTTCAAGGCCGAGATCAACTCCTTGGCGCGGAGTTCGCGTTCAGTCTGCTTCTTACCATCATCAGCCTCGAGAAGTTTCCTTAACACGACCTGAAGCTTTTCCTCGAGCTCAGTTCGCACTTGCGAGACCTTCAAACGCTCGGAAGTCAAGGCGTTCAACTCCTTCTTCTTATGCTCGATCTCTTTGGATGTGGACTTGACGGTGTTATTGAGAGACGCCTTGCGTTCGTTCATGTTCTGGACATCGGATTCAACTGACTTCAGTTGCCATTCAGTGTTCTCAAACTTGCCCTTCAAGCTATTGACTGCTTCAGCTTCGGTCTTTCTCTGCCGTCGCAGATTGTCAAGGTTCAACGAGTCCGCCGATGAACGTCGGTTCACTTCTTCTCTGAGTTTACGGTACTCCTGCTGATCGGCTTCGCTCAGCTGGCCACCCTTCTTGCTCATGGTCTTCTGCCATTCAACTTCCCATTGGGTCTGAGCTTTTTCGACAAGCTTGAGGTCCTTTTCTAGTTGCTTGCCATTGTTGGATTGTGATGTGCGCTCCTTTTCGATCTCAGTAATCTTTGACGCGTATCTCTCAACCTTCTTCAGGGTGATGTCGATCTTCTCATCCACAGGCACAAGTGAGTTGTTGAGTTCTTCAATCTCCCTCTCCTTTTTTGTGATGTTTTTCTCAGCCTTGCCAACATCTCTGCCGACTCGAGCATGGTCCTTCTTGGCATCCTCGACGTTCTTATCATATTTCTCAACGCCACGGCGGTATTCTTTGAGCTCATTTTGGTATTTCTGGATATCAGCACTGGAGTCGTCGATCAACCGCTGGAAGTGGAACAGCTTCCACAGGATATGAGTGATAATGGCCTGGTCGCGTTCTTCGGCCTTTTTCGCGTAGTTCTCAGCCTCTCGCTTCTGTTCCTGGTATTGCTTCACTTCGGAGTTGATGCCTCGTCGACGGTTGAGCTGGATGGTTTGCTGCTCTGCGGCCTCCTCCGCCTCCGCCTTGAACTTTTCATAGTCGACCTTATACTCCAAACTGCCAGAGATTTGCTCAATCAACCGGGTAAGGTCTTTGGGCGACTGGGATGCGATCGCCTCAACATCACCCTGGAACACAAGGAAGTTTCGCGCTTTGATCAGAATGTTCTCCTCCTCTAATGCCTCGTTGTATTGGTGGGCAGACACGATTCGGTTGTTGATGCGGTATTCGCTGACACCTTGGCTGGTAATAGATCGGCGCCATTGTTGCTCCTCACCCGCATCATCCTCATAGACTGCCATCACCCAAGCGGACTTTGGGTCGTTTCCACCGGCATCTTGCTCCACATCCATGCTCTCTGGCCCTTCCTCTTCCTCGCCATCCTGTCCATCAGCAGCAGGTTCTCCGTCCACTTTAGACGTGCGCAAAACACGGCCACGGTAGACAAGATCCCGGAGATTGCTCGATCGCAGGTGAGAGGACTTGATTCCTAGAACGAAAGATATGGCATCCATCCTAACGCGCGTTAGCTTGGGTCCTTTAGACTGAGGCGAGGAGGCACTCACGAGTTTGACTTGCCAGACCCATTCGGGCCAATAATTGAGGTGAAGTACGCATCTCCGAATAGGAGGACATGATGTCCCTTGTAGGACTTGAAGTCTAGTAACAAAGTTAGCAACTGCCTGCGCACCTTCCGGTCGGTACATACTGAAAAGCTCCAAACGAATGAGTTTTCCCATATTGCCAGCGGCTTCCCTGAGGGAGCAACGCGCCGAGAATTCAAGAACCCTGTTATTTAAGCAGAGATTAAGTTGTGCGCAAGATGTGTGAGGGGCGCGATAGCGGGTGAACCGCGTCCACCTAGGACGCGCCGGGGCCATCACGTGGCTCCCAAATTTAGTGATGCGGCATTGCATGCTACAACGTTTTCTGACAGGCAATACTCTAATGATATAAATTGTTGGATTCTCGATTGAAATCGCGCTTTTAACTAGTGTTACAGGGTGTCGCCATCTAAGAGACAGAGCCAAAATGATGTACAAACTGAACTAGATACGACACATGAAGCGACCCTCTGGGTATGATACTTGGATATGATCATCGATCAATCTCTGAATGGCATCTTCACATTCACCATGCGCCCAAAGTGCAGGAGATCATCTGAGATGTATCCATTGGAGTCCAGTCGGAAATGGGTCTTGTGCCCCGCCAATTGCACAATGATGAAGTCCTCGTTTGTGAAAAGTTGCCGCACGCTCTGGAAAACCCGACGAGGCATAGATTGCAGCCTCGTGAACAAGGTTGGCTCCGTTTTTAATCCACGTCCGAGTTTGGTACTTTCCTCGTAATGCTTCATGGTTTCCGGAGAGACAGAGATTCTGCGCTTGAAAGAGAGATCACCCGGCGCCACTTCGACCTGGTAAGGCTTCTTGAAAGGAACCAAGCTTCGGACTGTGAAGAGGACGCGCATACGACCATTGGAATTGATCGCCTTGATATTTCTGACTAGGGAGCCAGTTCGGAGGATGAACAAGGTGCCTCCAAAGCTCATCATGATACAGATACCACCAAATAGAGATTTCTGCCACATCGGAATAGGAACCAGGGGATCCCGGAGAACCGCGTTCGAGTTGTAGATGGAATAGGCGAAGCAAAACGCGGACAGACCATACGCAGTCAAGACATATGGGCGATGAGAAGGCGCCTTGAATAAAAGCACTTGTCCGGCTTTTAATACCTTCGCTTGCAGCTTCGCCAGGGCACGGGGGTTCTTGTTCCCATAAGGACTTGCGGCCTGCCACGCGGAATCGACAGTTCTGGCCACACCCTTGACCTTGTAATGGGGTGCACTAGAATTGAAGTAGCGCAAGGAAGATGTCGAGTTCATCTGAAAGCCAGGTCGCATTGGACTTTGTAGGCATTGGCGCCAGAATATTGAGAAGGTGGGTGGTCTGACGGACATGGCTGCGATGAGCCTATGGAAGTTCAAGTTAGTAAAGCGATTAAGGCCATAGCACGTAGTCAATTGACAGCTATGAATCCGGGGGAAAATGGACGAATAGTCAACGACTGAATAGGTTCATTCTGTAACTTACTAGGACGAGAATCGGTCAACTGTCGTTCTCATCGGGATTCGCCGATAACAGCCAAAACAGCAGGCGGCAGAAAAAGGTTCCCGTCTTGGCCGCCGGTGAAAGCTCCCAACGCCCTCCACAGCTCCAACGGTTACTTTGGATTGTCTCTCCAAACACACGACCCCAAATTAAATCGAACTTGGAGATCTGTGCGCTTCAACGTGGTGGTGGGCTCTTCGTTGATTCTGCTCGTTCATTCCAAATCTAGCGTCTGCGGCGAGTTGCGACACCGGCCGAATACCCCAATCGGCACCGCAGTACTCCCAATCCTCCAAAACAGAATCACATAGCAATGGCAGCCAGGATCACAGTCGGTCAGGTTCCGGCCATGTTCGCTCGACGTCAACCGAAGGTGTTCGGTGTCGGCAGACGTGAGTTTCCTATCCATGTTCATGGCGAACAACATCTCTGCAACGGAAAGCCGGTCCTCTGAGCTCAATGCTACGGCGGAACTTATTTGCTATAACAAGCATTACTACATGGGCTAACGGCGTCATCCATTTCACTCTCCAGGCCTGCAATCTACCTCTATCACAACCCAGAATATCGCCTATCCACTCTACCCCTCCGTCGCGCAGCTCCTCCGTGAGAAGGGCATCCCCGAGTCCGACGTTTCCAAGATCCCAGCCTCCGGCCCCAAGGGTCGTCTCTTGAAGGGCGACGTGCTTGCATACATCGGCAAGATTCCCGCGAACTACCCGTCAAACCAAGCCGCCACACTTGCCAAGCTTACCCACCTCGATCTGAGCAACATCAAGATTGCGGCTCCGGCCGCACCGGCCGCACCGGCCGTGCCCGAAAAGAAGGTTGTGGCCGAGCCGCCGCGTTTGACTTCTGTGGCCATCTCCATTTCCCTGGCCGCCGTGCTGTCTGCGCAGAAGAAGCTCCAAGATAACCTGGGTGTGACAGTGCCGCTGTCCCGCTTCCTTGCCGTGGCTACAGACCTTGCCAACGACGACCTGCCTCGCCCAGCTAACTCTAAGCCCTCCGCCGACGAGCTTTTCGATGAGATTCTCGGCGCCGAGCCGATCAACACATCACGCGGTGATTACGTTCCCGACCTGAACGCTTTCGACGCTCCTAAGTCTGTCCGCTCTAAGCCCGTTACCGAAGACCTGATCGGTTTCCTTAGTGCCAAGCCGTCCAAGAAGTCTGCACCTGCAGCTTCGGTTGAGAGCGCGGGTGTTGCTTCTAATGTTTTCAGCTTGACAGTCCCTGCTGGTGAGGAGGTCCGCGCGAAGGCATTCTTGGAGCGAATCAAGACTCTTCTCTCTGTTGAGCCGGCGCGCTTGGTGCTTTAGATTTCCTTATGTTTCAAATCTCCCTTTTTGAGCTTTTTATTTTGTTTGTTGCTGAGCCAAAAACTGGGCAAGCGAGACTCATTCATGAATGTATACAGTATAGCATAGTTAATCGGATATTTTCTTAATTGGGTTACTTCACTTGAGAAAGGGAATTGAACCACAATAATAAAAATTGGTCTTAGTTGAGTTGAATCAGCCTTGGACTTCCAAGAAACATGTAAGTGATTATCAAGTTTGATTCTCATTTCCATGGTGTATATCCCCATGAAGGCCGGTTGGCATAGCTAAATCCTCTGAAATAGGAACATAGGCACAAATTCGTGCCGGAGAAAAAGAGGGTCATCTCATCATCAAAAGCAACCCTGCGAAAGACAAATTGCAATGAGAACACCCGCCGCGCAACGCCGCATACCAGCAACCAGGAAACACCACAAGCGCCGCCGCTCAAAGCCCAAGAAACGTGGATGTAAAGTTGTTCGCTTGACTCGAAGGCGTCTGGCTAGTATAACTAGGCTAAATCACAGCCAGAGTTGGAAGGAACCGATGGAAGAGATCAAAAAAGGCAAGAAAAAACAGAAAAAGCAAAGAAAAATTGAAGGAAAAAAAAAACTCAAACAAGCATTACCCCATTCCGAATGAACGAGCGCCGGACGTCCACCTGAAATGCTCTAAACCACCGATAGAAAAGAAGATGCAATAGATGCCGACGCATAAAAAGACGAAGAGTCAGATCCCCGCAGGCCATGCAATGATTTTCCCCCAGTGACCAAATTAAGTGAACCGCAAAACGCCATATCGAATGCAGATGCAAAGGCAAATTAGAAATAGAGGGGATTGCGAACTACCGAATGGTGCCCCATTCGGCCAGTTTGCTGCCTTCCCGACGAGTGTCTCTTGTAGCACGTCTATCGAATATTTTCCAGAATCTGAGTGTTTCGTCGCCTGCTCCTGTTACGACAGTCTGGCCGTCAGGGCTCATGGCGAGGTAAAGAACGCGGAAAGTGTGACCGGTCAGCGAGACGATTTGTTCCATACGCGGGTATTTCCAAATGACGATTTGGTTCTGGCTGTAACCGTGTGTGCTGATGATTTCGTCTGAGTTTTTGGACCAAGATAGGTTGCAGACCTGGCTACCAGTGTCGACCTCTTTGATCATTGAGCCGGTTTGTGTGTTCCAGAACTTGATCGTGCGGTCAGCGGTACCACCGCCAGAAGCGAGAAGATGATGTTGATGCGGAGACCATGCAATGGCCTTGACTGCAGCATTGTGGTCAGAGAAACGGTAGAGGGGTGTCTCGCTCAGCTTATCCCAGACCATCAGTTTGTTGTCGTTGCCGCCGGATGCTAATTGGCCATCTTCGGTGTTCCACTTCAAACCACAAACTTCTTGTTTGTGGCCAGCGAGCTTTCGAATATACTGATCTGGAGAACGAACATCACGGTGATAAATGAGACGGTCTCGGGATCCCGAAGTGAGAATGTGATCGTTCCACGCCAAAGCGCCAACTCGGTTGGTATGTCCAATCATGGTTCGTAGTCGTCGGCAATGCTCAGCATCCCATATTTGTACCAGACCTTTACCTGTACCAATTGCAAGATGTGTGCCCTATATTTCCTGTATGAGTATGATATGTGGAGCGTTAACATGCAGACTTCTTGCTTACCCTTTGAATCCAGCTCACGCTGGTCACGGTATCATCTTTCAGCTCGCACAGCCTGGTAACTCCACCGGTATGAGAGTTCCACATGTAGACAGAGTTTGCCAATCCAACGCCGAGAACATTGCTACTGCCCCAGTCCACCAGGTTCAAGTAGAAATCATCCTGAAGATCCGGCGCATCTAAGACCTTGTAAGGCACCTTGTTCACATACCGGGCCTGTTTCCGAGGCGTTTCCAGAATACGCTGACTGTCATATCGAATAGGGGAAAGACTGTAGAGCTCGGAGCGCACGTCTAAGTTAGGGCCATGCACACTTCGAGGGGTTTTAGAGGGGGTTGGGTGTCCCGATCCGGGCCGTGAAGGCCCATAGTTGAAGAGGTTTTTGTGTGGGGTGGTTGGGGTGATGCTGGCAGGAGGGAGATTGGCTGCGATATGAGCGGGAGGTGTATGGGATCGGGTCTTGTCATTGATTCCATTGCTGAAGCCGAGCAATGGGTCGGATGGCGCAGAGGTCAAGTCAGGCTGTGGGACCGTGTTTCCGAACAGCTCGCTGCGCAAAACTCGGGAAAATGTACGGTTGGCTTCCTCAGCTGCGGTTAAAGTCAGGTCAAATGTACAACGCATTGGGTTCCGAGATGTAACACACTCTTTTGGAAATGAAGCTCGGAGTGAGGGGGGCGTTTCTTGGTCTTGGAAGGAGTAGATGGACAGCCATCTTCATGCAATAAACTATAGGTCGCTTGTAGATCTTGCCCGTCGCGATTGGGAATGAAGCTGAATTATGATCAGTAGCTGAGTCACAGATGACTGCCATTGTTTTGGCGCAGCTTTCTGATTGGAGAAAAGTGTGGCTTACCGATCCCCGTAGACCCGCTGTCTCTTGCGACACGGACTGGAGGCTGGGGTCCTGTCCCGCCGGCTCCCAGCAGACTCATAATCCTTCAATGCTTTCGCAAGCGCACTAGGGTCGATTGGCTCTGCTCCATCCTGCCGTTGGCCGTTCCCCAAATTTGAATTGTCTGGAAAATACATCGTGCGCTTTGATGGCATGCTTGGCGGTGTCTTCGATCCAGGTGGTGATGCGATATTTGAGACCTGCGATTTTTGTGGTTTTGTTGCCGACCTATTCCCGGCCTTGTTTAAATTCTGAGGTCTATCCGCCATGGCGTTCCCTAGCTGTCTGCCCGAGCCCCAGAGACGAAGTGCAGCCGATCAAGATAGAGATAAGAATTGCATGAGATGTAAGTGAAGTTCTGTGAATCAAGGATGTCGAACGTTCAGAGATTCGGGTGTAGAATCAAGGGTATTTGAAGGGCGATTGGCGGAGGGTCCGTTGTTGTTGATCCAAAGGTGGAATGATTGCCCCGGCTGTTAACACCTGAAAATGGCACAAGTTCCGGGATAAAGCACTATCAAACCCTCTTTCACCAGGAAATGAACACAGAAGCGTCTAAACTGTCGGCATGTGAATGAATGAATGTCTTCAAGGGAGTGACGGAGTTGCGCAGGGCGACTCTCTAGGTCACGCGTCGGGTACGCTAACCCGATTTAGCGAGGGCAATCGGCCCCATCCAGTGTCTTTGCCTTTGACTACGCTCATTGATATTTGATCGACAATTTATTTCAGCAGTGGAGTCTATCTCTTTTGTTTACTCCCCCAGACTATGTCTCATGCTGTTTGCCGAGATTCCTGGAAACGTCCTGTGTCAGCATGGCTTTGTTCCAATCGAGACTGATGCCACAGTGTTAGTCCTGTTGTTTACAGAAAGGGACGCGCCCACACCGTCTAACTGGACCACTTAAAGTGGGGGGGATGTGAGGGATCTGTACTCCATATTGACCGTTTCACTAACGCGAAATCCACAGATTATTGATTCGATATACGCGCTTGCTTTGACGCGACGCGACGAAGCTTGGGCCATGGCAACGACGATACCAAGCCTGACTTCTAGGAATTTACATAGTGGGGTCGACCAAAGAATAGTATATCCATGTTCAAATAGTAATAATTGAAACCTACCATGTCCTGAATACCTGAATATCAATGGCCCTAAGACTCCCTTCTAGTTTCACTGGTGGCTTTGTTACGTGACATGGCCGCAGTCACCGCCAAACCAATTAAAACCTCCGGCGGCAAAAGCCAACTCTCTCCCTTTGTGCACCCTGCAATGGTCCTTAGGCGTCTTTGTCCTGATATTATTGGTTGTTCTCGACGTTATTCTACAATGGCTGCCAAGCAACCTGCTCTGGACTTCTTGACCTTTGTCAATGCTGCTCCTACCCGTATGTAGTTCTATCGATGACGTGGAATGTCGCTGATTTGTCTTATCTCCAGCTTTCCATGCCGTCCACGAAGCGAAACAGCTTCTGGATAAGGCTGGCTTTCAAGAAATCAAGGTCGGCTCAAGCTGAATACCGGAGTAATAAATTGTGGCTCATCCATCAATAGGAAAGAGACTCTTGGGCGTCGACCTGCCAACCGGGAGGCAAGTACTACTTGACTCGCAACACTACTACCCTCGTGGCTTTTGCGATCGGCAAGCAATGGCAGGTATGTATAAATTGCGGAACTGCGTAAATGGTCTTTCAATTAATCATGTCAATGAATATAGCCGGGCAATGCCATCTCTATGATCGGTGCCCACACCGACTCTCCGGTGTTGAGGGTCAAACCCGTTAGCAAGAAGAGCGGGGAAGGCTTCGTCCAGGTCGGTGTAGAGACCTACGGCGGAGGCATCTGGCACACTTGTACGTGCCATTGATTACCTTCAAACTATCATAGTCGCTAATTTCCTGCAGGGTTCGATCGTGATCTCGGTGTCGCTGGGCGGGTTATGACTCGCGAAAGCGATGGATCCATCGTGCAGAAACTGGTCAAGATTGACCGTCCCAGTATGTTTCATGTTGACCCAATAAATGTGCCTTGCTAACAAGGTAGTCCTCCGTGTTCCAACACTGGCCATCCATCTGGACCGCCAGGAAAACTTTTCATTCAATAAGGAAACACAGCTGTTCCCTATCGCTGGCCTTATTGCTGCAGAGCTTAACCGCAATGATGGAGCCGACACCCCTGATACAGACAAGGGTGGGGAATTATTCTCACCATTGAAATCTGTCACAGAACGTCACCACTCTCACTTCGTTGAGCTTATTGCTAACGAGGCTGGTGTCAGTCCCAGTGATATTCTGGACTTTGAAATGATCCTCTTCGACACTCAAAAGTCCTGTCTCGGCGGTATGCTGGAGGAATTCATCTTCTCCCCTCGTCTAGACAACCTGAACAGCACTTTCTGTGCTACAGTTGGTCTGATTGACTCCGTGGCCGATAAATCAGCCCTCGACGACGAGGAAGCGATCCGCCTGATTGCCTTGTTTGACCACGAGGAAATCGGAAGCCGCACAGCACAGGGTGCGGACTCGAACATTCTTCCATCGATCATTCGCCGTCTATCCGTCCTCCCATCCTCCTCCTCCAAGAGCACCGACCTGTCAACTGCCTACGAGCAGACTCTGTCCACCTCCTTCCTTGTCTCTGCCGACATGGCTCATTCGGTCAACCCGAACTATTCGGGGAAGTACGAATCAGACCATAAGCCGGAGATGAACAAAGGCTTGGTGATTAAGATCAACGCCAACGCTCGCTATGCGACGAACTCTCCTGGAATTGTTCTCCTGGAGGAGATTGCGCGCAAGACCACCAAGGAGACTGGCGTCCACGTTCCTCTTCAGCTCTTTGTGGTCCGTAATGACTCGAGCTGTGGCAGCACCATTGGCCCTATGCTGTCTGCTGCGCTGGGCGCGCGGACACTTGATCTAGGCAATCCCCAGCTCAGTATGCACAGTATCCGTGAAACAGGTGGTACTTATGATGTTGCCCATGCCATTCGTTTGTTCACTGGCTTCTTCAAGCATTACTCAGAGCTGTCGAAGAAGATCATTGTGGATTAAGCTTACCGTGAATAAGTAGATGAAGTAGTACAATCAATACTATTCAAACAGTCCAGTATTCCATTTCCAAGCATTCGAATATAAACACTCAAACATCTTAAAATAAAACACAAACGTACTGTGCATGTACCTTGGGGAAAGCACGTGGTCCGGGCCGAGGAAAATCCACTACCCGAAGTATTAATATCCCAGATTCCCAGTAGTCTACACCAGAATATGAGGACCTGTAGAATTGACGCCAAAAACGGCCATTCTCTACCTCAAAAAGCAAAACAAAAACATACAACAGTGAGGATTCGCTGGTGGTCACCCACCCAACTACTACCCCGGACTATTCTTAGCCTCCGAATTTCTAATGCGATTGGTCTGCGATGGTCTGTCACCCCGCAACGTGATCCTTACGTAGGCGAGGAGCTTATAACTAGGTAACTCAGCGGCGTGTGGCTTATACGCAGTCGATAGTCGGGTGGGTGTCGCCCGGGTGAGAAATGGATGAGCGCCGTTTTACGGTCGCGCGACCGGGGGTGAGAAGGGTGAGTGTACTATACAATTCTTTACGCCAAGCGATACATGTACATCGTGTCTTGTTACTGTATGGAGTGGCTAGAACTTCCCATACTTTAGGCTAAGATTGTGCCGCTCTTCAGCTTGTTGCCTGACAAAACGTGGCTTAGACGTTTTACCACCCTCAGCCCCCTTCAGCTGAGGGGAATCGTATCTTTAGATTTGATCCGAACCCTCCCATCCCCTGTCCAAAAATTCGACAAATCGCAATTTCTTTGATATCAAGGCGGCCGCGGAGGACATGATGGCTTGTGTAGCATTGTCTCATTCCGGTTCGATACGGGTGCCGCATCCGACAACAGCTCTCCGGGAGGCGTTGATTGAATTCGAGGGTATTCTGACGGAGGAGCAAAGGGGACTCTATAAAGTCAGCGCTACGAAACCAGACGTTGCGAGCGTCATCGCATTCGTGACGGAGATCGACGCCAACAACAGCACGACAAGGAGATGTGTGGCACCGAGGTTGTGTACATTTCTGGAGGCGACACAACAGTTCAGTGATGTCGTGGGTACATTTATCAGCTCCAATCCTCAAATCGCCGCCCTAATCTGGGGCGGCGTTAAGATGGCTATATTGACGGCAAGCAATATTACATCTTACTTCGACAAGGTCACAAAAATGATTATGGAGATCGGAAGGTCGTGTCCAACCTATCAACAATTTGGTCAACTTTATCCCGACTGTATCAGCCTTCAACGTGAGCTATGCGAGTACTATGCAGCCATCGTCCAATTGTGTACCAAGATCATCGAAGTATCAAGACGCCCGCCGATCACGCAAACTTTATCGTCTATTTTCAATCCCTTCGAGTCTGATTTCAAAAGCCCTCTCGATAAACTAAAGCAAGCTACAAAGGACATACAGCTGCAGATATCACTTGCCTCAAAGCAGGCTAACGAGGAAACAAAAAAATTGCTGGAAAACGAGAGCCAAAATAACGCAGCATCCCGAAAGTTGACAAATAAATTCCGAAAAGAAACCCAAAAGGAACACACTGAGGCGCACCAGTGGAGAATCCACATGATGAAGAGGGAAGCTGCAAGCTTGAGATCTAGCATTAGACAAAATCTTTCTACCATCGACTACGTCAAACCCTGGAAGCAAGCTATCCAACAACGCGTGCCCTCCACAGCGGAGTGGCTACTGCAAGAGTTCCTTTTCCATGATTGGCAAGATGACCAAAATACTGCAATTCTCTGGTGCCCAGGCACGATGGGTATGGGAAAGACAGTGCTTATATCTAATGTGGTTGCCCAACTTCATGCCTCACGAAATACCAATGACATTATTTCCTATTACATTTGTCGTGCGGACAACACTGCATCTCTGTCAGCGAGAAACATTATCGGGAGTCTTGCTCGTCAAATATTAGACTCTCAGATCAAACACGCTGAAGATGAAAGTCTACAACGCCTATACGAGGATAGCAATGACCTCAATACGGCTGAAGTAGTTGATTTCGTACTGTCTCGGCTCCACGATGACAATACATACTATCTAGCTATTGATGGACTGGATGAATGTGAACCTGTCGAGATCCGGAAGGTGGCGCAGAGTGTGGCCAAACTTTGTAACATGCGCGTTAAAAACTTCAAAGTTCTCTATACAGGCCGCCCGGAGCTTGAAAACCAATTGTTTGGAGCCATGAAACCCAAATACAAAATCCCGGTGACCGAGACAAAAGTTGACTTGGAGATGGATCGCTATATTGCCGCGGCTATAGGCAACTGCCTAGAAGACAAACAATTGATCTTGGGGGATCCCACGCTCATTGTGAAGATATTTGAAACCCTAAAAAAGGGATCCAACGGAATGTAAGTGATGAAATGATCCAATTCAAGCGACGGGATGAGGGGTTTTCCACCATCTTTATCAATCGAGCTAGGCATGAAGTCCTGGTGAATTCTTTATCATTAGGAGTGAAAGTTGTTGGACTTTTATGTTGCAAGTATCTAGGCTGATCGATAAAGGTTCCTCTGGACGCGTCTTTTCATCGAAGAGCTCTGCGAACAAGGCAGTGACAGCGACATCTTAGATGCATTGAAGCATCCCCCTCGTGGCCTATCTGAAATATTTGACAGAAAACTCAGCCGTGTACGGGAGAGAACCTTGGGAAAAGACGCGTTCAAAATTCTCCAATTTTGTGGTGTGATGAAGCGGCCATTGACAGCGATGGAATACCAGGAGGTTTTAGGTCTTTTTCCTGGACAAATGTCTCTTGACCGAAAAAAGCTCCCCAACGACATGAATAAGGTCATTGGTGATTGTTGTGGTCTAACATTCATCGACGAAGAGGACAGCACTGTGCACTATGTTCATCATAGCGTGAAGAAACACCTTTTTGGCACGAACTCCCGACACTCGGAGGAATTCAATATGGCGGGACTTGATTGGCATATCGGCGTTCTTTGCATGACCTACCTCGATTTCACTGATTTTAAGCGTCAGTTGACGAAAATTCAGAATGGTTCAAATACTCCTATACGGCCTGTTCAGCTTGGAATGTCCCCCTTCGGCAGTTACAGCAGTATGACTGGTCGAATGGCACTGAGGCTACTTTCTTACCGTGAGAAGTTACGGCATCTCAGCGCTGGGGAGCTAGAGAGGAAGGCCCAACAAATACTTGGTGACAAAGAGTCTTCACGTCTAGAGATGGAACTCCAAAGCCGAGGTTTTCACTTTCTCGAATACGCCCGAAATCACTGGATCAATCACCTCACAAACCCACATCCCGAATCTGAGGATATGGCTTGGTCATTGTTCTGCCGATGTGTAGAAGGGAATGATATTGTTGCATACAGACCATGGGAGTCAGCGCAGAAGGCCTACGAAGATAGAAACGATGTACCGCAGACGATACAATGGTTGTCAGCATATGGACATTATCACTTGCTTTTGTACTATATAAGGCGTCAGCCTTATATTTTAACAGAGAACATCAAGCGTCATATACTTCGAAGTTCCATCACCAATGGCCATCATCGTCTCGCCAGGTGTATTATCCAACACGGACGCGATTCTCCTGCTCTCATGAATCATGGATTGTTTTTGGTTTCGAGAGAAGGTTGCAGTGAATTACTACCAAGTCTGCTCCAAGTAGTCACCCACGTGGATGCACGAGTGTGTGGCCAAACAGCGCTCCAAGCAGCAGCGCAAGGAGGCCATCTTCAGGTGGTAGAGCGACTTCTCGCAGCAACGGCAAATGTCAATGCACCCGCCGCAGAGGGAAATGGACGAACAGCGCTCCAGGCAGCAGCGCAAGGAGGTCATCTCAAGGTCGTGGAGCGACTTCTCGCTGCAACAGCAAATGTCAATGCGCCCGCCGCAGAGGAAAATGGACGAACAGCCCTTCAAGCAGCAGCGGAAGGAGGCCATCTTCAGGTGGTAGAGCGGCTTCTTGCCGTAAAGGCTGATATTAATGCGCCTGCTAGATACTACGCTGGACGAACAGCCCTTCAAGCAGCAGCGCAAGGAGGCTATCTCAAGGTTGTGGAGCGACTTCTCGCAGCAACGGCAAATGTCAATGCGCCCGCCGCAGAGAGAAATGGACGAACAGCCCTTCAAGCA